AGTGAGTGGAAGGGTAGATGTTGATGAGGACTCAGAAACATCCTACCGCCATAAATGCGCTTTTCAGATACAGGCAGGTAGTGGGATAGGTAGCAAAAAAAATGATGAGCCAAAATTCGCATGTCTTCTATTGATTTCAGCTCTGATAATGAAGGGGGGTGGGGCTTGATAATTATGTTTCTAACAAATGCAAGAAAATTCATTCTACAGTTCATTTGAACTTCATTTCAACCCATTGTTCAATATGAGGAACTAAGCTCACAATTACACTAGTTGCGGAATTCACAATCAATCTCTTGTTGTCTGCTTGGAGGCGAGATCACGAACACATCACCTATCTGCTTATTTGAATTCCATAGATTTTCTGAATTCTCATCTCAATTTCTTTCACTCAAAATTGCCAGTTCTGCAATGCGGAAAATTGCTTATCACATAGAAACCATTTTCAGATTCCCACTCTATCTAGCAACTTGTTTAGTAACACAACTCATCTAGCTAAAATAATGTGAGCTCCTGAGGTAGAAGGATAGCTGCTTAATATTTCAAACAACCCTTCTCGATTGAGAAAATGAGTACATTGAAGTGGGCTTGAATTGGATGTTCCCATGTTGTGATGAATAAAAGATAATTTCAGGCATGTTTACAATTCAACTATTCATTGCAAAAATCAAAATACCTTACTTAACGTTATTACTCTATTCACAAAACTATAATTTAATCTAAAATAAAAAAATCATTTTTCGTTCATCAAGGTAGAAATAATGCATCAGCCAATTGGAAAGTGCAAGGCATCTTTGACCTCAGGCTTATTGAATGCAAGAGAGACATACATTGTGACATTCGAGAAGTCCAAAGTCAACCAAATTGTTAATGACAATTATCAAAACACCTTCCATTTGATTTAAATAAATAAATAAATGTTTAATTGATGTAATGTGTTAAAAACAGTACATGAACGTGAATATGAATATCATTTAACATGCTTGTTGTTTCAGGATCTCGAATTTTGCCGTCCGTAGAAACCCCCCTTGAATGTCTCTTTGTCGCCACTTAATTTTATGTTTCAAGTTTGAGATCGTGCTTTAAAAATTTGGCTTCAAATGTTACCATTAGCCCTTTATTTGATTCCGGGCTTCACAGTGAGGAGGGATATCAAATTCACAAAATGTCGAGAGGGATATTGAACAGAAGTGTGTTTCACCGATGTAATACAAAAAGGTAAGATGAGTACTGTGAAAGGGGTCGAATATGACATACAGTGAAGTCGTGGTAGTTTGAAGTCAGATGTCAACTATAGTCGGACCATAGTAGTTTGAAGTCAGAAGTCAACTGCCGGTTTACGGTGGGGTGATGGTAGTTTGAAGTCAGAAAGCAACTGCCAGTGAGGGGTGATGGTAGTTTGAAGTGAGAAGTCAACTGCCAGTGCGGGTGATGGTAGTTTGAAGTGAGAAGTCAACTGCCGCTTAGGGTGATGGTAGTTTGAAGTGAGAAGTTAACTGCCAGTTAATATGAGTCGTGGTAGTTTGAAGTCAGATGTCAACTGTCGAATAAAAGGCTTTCTGCCCAGGGTGCACCACGTGGAGGTAAGTCTATCGCGCATCAATTCTTCAAAGATAAACTGAGTCTTTTGTTAAAATACAACTAGCATAAAAATGAATTTGCGTTAACCTCCCTCAATAAAATTGAAATCACACAGACAAGTGGCTCTGGCATTAATGCGAAAATAGTGATTTAGAGTTGAATATTGAATGATCTGGGACGTATTTTCGGACTCGGTGTCAGAGCAGTTTATGTGGATGTAGACAGATAGTGGAATTGGAAACCAAACGATGAAAAATCGAAAGTTAACAGACAGTGAATGTGGAGTTATAATTGCAGTTCCAACGAATGCATGGAATTTCATTTCTGACTTTCCTTGTACAAATTCTAATGGTCGAATCACCTGCTGTTTACCAATATGAAGTAATCACACATACACCTTGAGATTTAAATATAATTTTACTCTTTAGTTCTTCGTTTGAGTATGGAATCACGAATGAAATCGCTTTCTGCTTATTTGGACTTGTGAAATATTATGAATGTTCTATGCCATTTTCTCATTCAAAATTACATTTTTCTCCAAGTCGAGAAACGATAATCAAAGTGAAATCATGCAACCAATGTGATTATTCGAAAAGCGATTCAGCGTAAATGCAACTTGCTGAAGTGTCTTTATACAAGCATTTTAAGATGATCAATCTGCCCAGCTATTGTGACTCCTGAGAGCGGAGAATAAATGAATTTATGTCAAAATAGTAAGGAATAAAGTGAATCTATACGGGCCTGACTTGGGGCAAAATGATTGGCTGAATGGGTGAACAATATTGGGTGTGATGTATTAAGTAGTGCTCAACAGATATTCTTAACTTTAAGGTTTGGGCCAGCAAAAGGTTATTTTTTATTAAAACTGTTGAACCCACCTATGCATCAAAAACTATTATTATTATTTCAAATGGCAGGCTTTATGATATTGATCATTATCCCTCAAACTTGGACTTCAGCTTCCCCCAAGGGTGGGGGGAGGGGTACATATGTAGCAGTTAATTAATAGTAGTTCATTAGCTGTCTTCTGGCTTCCCAGTATCTCTGCATTTCCGTCGTTGTCTTTATTACTGGACACCGATTCAGGTGGGTCCTCTCCATTTCCTCCTGTAGGTTACATAGAGGGCATGTGGGAGTGTTTACTCCCAATCTGTGAAGGTGTTTTGCCAGGCAACCGTTTCCTCCTGTAGGTTACATAGAGGGCATGTGGGTTTAGTGAAGGCTACATAGGGGGCATGTGGGTTGAGTGTATACTCCCAATCCAGAGGGCATGTGGGTTGAGTGTATACTCCCAGTCTGTGAAAGGGGGCTGAGTGGCTCCTGTAGGTTACATAGAGGGTATGTGGGTTGAGTGTATAACCATTTCCTCCTGTAGGTTACATAGAGGGGATGTGGGTTGAGTGTATACTCTTAGGTTACATAGAGGGCATGTGGGTTGAGTGTATACTCCCAGGCTACATAGGGGGCATGTGGGTTGAGTGTATACTCCCAATCCAGAGGGCATGTGGGTTGAGTGTATACTCCCAGTCTGTGAAAGGGCATATGGGTTGAGTGTATACTCCCAATCTGTGAAGGGGGCATGTGGGTTGAGTGTATACTCCCAATCTGTGAAGGTCCATGTGGGTTGAGTGTATACTCCCAATCTGTGAAGGTGTACATGTGAGTTGAGTGTATACTCCCAATCTGTGAAGGTGTTTATAGGCAATCGTGTTCGGTACGTAGTCTAAACTCATCAACGGAGCAATCGTGTCCGGTACGCAGACTAAACTCAGCAACGGTTTCGATTCTTGGACATTCGGCTATGTCTGAGAGTGCCACTGTCCACTGTTTCTCCTTTGTTAGAGCTTCGAGTTCGTTGCACCTTGAGGTCTTGAATTCTCTCTTGATTAAGGCCATCATTGCGTGGAAAGACATCGGGCGGTCCATGCATTGCAAAATCGTTGTCCCCTTCCTAGCACGTGTGTCAGCAAGCTCATTGCCTTTAATGCCACAGTGACCAGGAATCCATTGTAGGACCACTGTTTTGTTTTTCTCTCTCAGCAGCTCATAGAGTTTTCTACATTCCTTTATCTCAGCTGCTTGGGTGGCTCTCTGCTTTCAATTGCGTTATTGCTGACTGTGAGTCCGAAAGTATTACCCCTAGGTAAATTTCGTATCCAGGCAACATAATTGGCATAGTGCTATCCTAATGACCTCTATTTCTCCATCGAAAGCGGATCTATTGTGTCAATGCTGCTGCGTAGAAAGAGAAGAGTTCAGTGTAGACACCAGCACAAATGTTTGCCTGGTTTTCTATGTATGACCCATCAGTGAAGACTTGGAGCCTTTGATCAGCAGGTAAGTTGACATAGATTGTCTCAAGGGCCAGTGAGCGCATTTGTCCTGGGGGGAGGGTGTTTGATTTCCTGAAGTCGTCAAGCAGTTGGGTGCAATACGCTACATCAGTGTCTGGTAATGGATTCATGGGTAGAGAGAGAGTTTTGGTTTTTCATCAATTTATAATGCTTTCATCAGTTCTATGGCTTTCTGTATTAGACCAGATCGCGTTTTCAGATGTCTTGGTCTATTCTCATAGGTGGTGAAGAACTTATCCATGGCAATGTGCAGTAGCTTCTCATACAGGATCAAGGCCTTCTTTTTGATAAGGGAACATATTGTGGTGCTTCCTGTAACTAGGAACATCGCATCAATGGATGTTGATTTTATCCCTCCAGTAATTAGTCGTAACGCTTGGTTGTGTGCCTTCTCGAGTGGTTTGAGAGTCACCTCTGTGGCTGTAATGAGTGGCTCACAGCAATACAACATTATTGGCTGAATGAACATCTTGTAAGTGGTGTTGAGAGTTGAGCGTGCACAGCCCCATACGCTACCAGCAAGACGTTTCAGTACATTCAGTCTGTTGGAGACTCGTTCTGCTATTTAAGTGATGTGACTTTTCTATGTTTTCTTTGTGTCAAAAGTCATTGCAAGATAAGTGAACTCATTGATTTTTTCTAAAGTACTATCCCTGTACCTTAGAAGCGGGTTTATGCTGTGACGGGCCAAAGTAAATGTTGGGAATGAAGTTGATAACCATTTCATTGTTGCCGTATCAGTTAGCTAGTAGTTGATTGCACAATTTAGGGCACTTTCTGTCCTCTCCTGAGCGTTTTTTTCCAATTTAGGGCACTTTCTGTCCTCTCCTGAGCGTTTTTCTCAGGGGCGGAATACCATAGTACCAGATCATCTGCATAAAGCATGGGGGGGGAATACCATAGTACGAGATCATCTGCGTAAAGTAAGCACGGGCACTTTCTGTCCTCTCTTGAGCGTTTTTCTTAGGGGCGGCAGATCATCTGCGTAAAGTAAGCACTTGGTGCCCGTGAAAAATCATTTTTTCTTAGGGGCGGAATACCATGGAACAAGATCATCTGCATAAGTTAAGCACTTGACGCCCGTGACTGCAATAATTCAGCTATGTCATTGATGAAGACATTGAAAAGAGTGCAGCCTATGACAGCTCCCAGTGGAATGTCTGTTTGTAAAAGATTGGATTTTGATAGAGCATTTCCATATCTAAAAGATTGGATTTTGATAGGGCATTTCCATATCTGACTTTACTTGATCTTTGTTCAATGAATGCTTTTATCTAGTTTAGCATTCATTGAATGCTTTTATCCAGTTTAGCATGTTATTCTTAATAAGGATTTCCGTATCTGACTTTACACGATCTTTGTCTAATGAATCTTATCCAGTTTAGCATGTTATGCTTAATACCAATCTATATCAATTTAGCATGTTATGCTTAATACCAATCTTTGCGTTTTAGAATTAGCTTCTCTTTCCATACTAAGTCGTTTGAAATCGACGAAAACAGCCGCAAGGGTATTTCTTGCACCAATTTTCGAATTAGCTTCTCTTTCCATACTAAGTCATATGCTGATTTGAAACCGACGAAAACAGCCGTAAGAGTATTTCTTGCATCAAGGGAGGTGAATTCAGCCGTAAGTATTTTATGTATCAAGGGCATATTTGATGTGTTGAGAGAAAGTGGCTACTTGTAGGTTCGTTGATCTTTGTGGCCTAAAACCGGCTTGTTCACTCCTAAGAATATTGTTGGTCTCAAAGAATCAGGTCAGCCTCCTGCGAAACATTATTTTCATAAGTTTAGTCAGCACGATTGTGAGGGAGATAGGCCTATAGTTGTCTTTACCCTTTTTTAGTACTGGTATTACTATGGCAACTTACCTTTGGTCATATACGAGACTGGTCTCCCAGATTTTGTTGAATAGCGTCAGCATGGTTTCCTTGGCTGTTGGTCCCATCCTAATTAGAAATTCCGCATGAATACCGTCTTCGCCAGGAGACTTTTGCACTTTAGCTGTTTAATCGCCGCATTAAGTTCGCATGGTCTGAATGGTACAGTAAGTACACTATTTATTGTTGTTGTGTCTTCCTTAATTTCACCAAACTGTCTTACTTGGATCTTTATGTTTCTCTTGAAGATTTTCTGGCAAAAGGGTTTTTTCTTTTGCTTGTAGAAATAGAACCTTGCAAAGTAGTTAGCCATTTCGAAGTAGATGGTAAGCAGTTTGTTTTAAACGTTTTGGTTCTTTTTTGGGTTTTTCCTTGTTGTTTCGGAGGTCACCAAGGAATTTGAAAGTGCGTTGGCTATCACTTTGATAGTTGATATTGTTGGAAAGTGCGTTGGGTATCACTTTGATAGTTGATATTTGAGATTCGAAAGAAGTGCGTTTAGCTTGCAAGATGGCTTGCCATAGTGGAAGTCCGTTTAGCTTGTAAGATGGCTTGTCTTAGAACAGTGAAGTCCGTTTAGCTTGTAAGATGGCTTGTCTTAGGAGAGCTGACTGCCGTCTCCAGGCTTGTACGTTTTCCGTTCTTCCAGTCTGATCAGCAGTGTTGCGATGGGCGTGCAGCTTTCAATTCACTTCCCCAAAGTGTTCAGATCAGAACACTCGATAGTGTTTAGTCTTGCCTCTGGGAATGATTTTCTTTGCACATCTGATCATAATATTCGTGATATCAGTGCAAAATTTGTCAGGATGTTGGTTGAAGTTGAGAGGACTTGTGTGAAGTTCATTGTCTAAAAGTTTTGTGAATCAAGGCCAGTCAGATTTCTTGAAGTTCCACGATAGCCCAGTTGGCACTTCCGTTGTCATGCTTTCGCTGTCGATAGTAATACTAGCAATGACTGGTTTGTGACCAGAACCCACTAGCAATGACTGGTTTGTGACCAGAACCAGGATCGTCGTGCGGCGTGTATGCTCGCTGATGTCGCTTGAAGCCAAGAGGAAATACGGCGTGTATGCTCACTGATGTCGCTTGAAGCCAGGAGCAAGTCGCGAGTATGCTCACTGATGTCGCTTGAAGCCAAGAGGAAAATGCTCGCTGATGTCGCTTGAAGCCAAGAGTAAGTCAGGGGTTCCATTGTAGTGCATATATGTAGAGGGATCCTCATTGCTGTAAATAAGATCCAAAGGCTTGCTGTTTAGCAGATATGTATGTATCCTTGTAGCCCCATCTGGTGAAATGGGCGTTGAAGTCTCCTAATACTTCAGTTTTGTGTGAGATGTTCAGAAATTCAAAGTTGGGACAATTCTGGAGTGGATTAGATACTGCATATATCTTGAAGTGGTTTTGACACTTCCAAACATTTAATCTGATTATTTCGCATGTGTCTTGCGTTGAGCCCATGCTCTTGATAAGATCGTAGTGTGAGGTGAGGCCTTCTATTACTCCAGTTAGAATTCCAATTGCAACTTGCCAGTATATAGGTTGAAGGTACAAGGTGTAACCTGGGAATTGGTAGTACTTCAGTTGGGTACAGGGTGTAACCTGGGAATTGGTAGTACTTCAGTTTTGGCATCCGAAATGTTAGCTTCCATAATTGTGAAAATGGCTACATCATAGGTTTGCAGGATTTTCTGTATTTGGATCTTTTTGACCTGTGAATTTTTAGGATTTTCTGTACTTGGATCTTTTTGTCCGGAGACATTCCCCTCTGTAACTGCTGTACTTGGACCTTTTTGTCCTGTGACATCCCTCCAGCATTCCACTGGAGGATCTAGATGACATCCCTCCAGCATTCCACTGGAGGATCTGAAGACGTTCTCTATAGCATTGTTTCAGGCTTATCATAATAAATAGAAGTCAAGATGTCGAGTGATAGACTTTTTTGCCTTATGAAGATAGGTTGTCCAGGATGCACCACGTGGAAGTAAGTCAATCGTGCACCCCGCATCAAAGGTATATTAGAATATAAATTACTTTCCGAATATTCGAAGATTGCCATATGCAAAATCCAATTCTTCTGTACATCTGACTTTTTAGCTGACATTTCAATTCCCGCGTAATTCTAAAATTATAACATTGAGTTCTGATGGAAATATATCTTTTCTCTAAGCGTAAATTTGCAACTGATCTGTAATATTAGATTTATTGACTTAGTAATTTTAATTAAATATTCGAACTATTGAAATCACAATAACGACCAATGACTAAAAATAAATAGCATGATAGCATTATTGATTTCATGCAAATTGAAAGCAAGCTAAAAATAAAAGTACATATTAATTTTCCCTCATCAAACAAAGTAAAAACAAAGTATCTTTGACCTCTTACTTATTCTCTGCTTGAGAGACCCGCACTACGAAACCCAACGTTGAGATTATTCCAAGGTAATTTCATGTCCAGTCATGGTTTCCATTTCTGTAAATTTGTAAAAAACATGTGAAGGTAAACGGAGCATAAAAATACACTTTAGAAATCAGAACTCTGGATATTTGGGCAGCTC